CCAGAAAAACTTTTGTTCAACGTTCAGATCTAACCAAAATCTCAAGCAATCACTTTGGAGAATGCAAGATAAAGAGAGTTGATATTATGGATTGTAGATACCCAAAACAAGAAATACAGTTTCCTTTTATTTTTATTTTATTCCCCACAAAAGCCTTCGGATAGAGTAAGAAAGTGGAGCCCTATTAAAATATTTCAGGCAAGCTTTTTGCTAATTTTCACCCACTTACATGCGTGGCTGTTATTCTTATTTTCTTTACAGCTGTATAGAGCTCAGCAGCTTCACCTGATAAGCCTTAGTTGGCTTCATTCACCCTTGAATCTGATATCGTCTCTTCCCCTTCCCCCAAAATTGTAGAATGTTTTAATATTTGTAGCTCTGCTTCATGATTACCTAACCGAGCATGTGATTTTCCCCAGCTCAGGCAATTTCTCTAATTCATTACTAGGAGACGAAACAAAGGCTGGCTTGAGATGCACCTCATAGACTAAACAGTAAAGTACAAAGACCCTGGTGAAATTGAGGGAAAATTACCCTCAACTTCAGTGAATGCTGGATAAGGCCTTAAGTCCATGAAAGCAAGAAGACCAATTTCAGATTTAAATATTACTTCATTTCAACAGCTTGCATGTGACTGAAGGACTATATGATAAACTTTAAAAAAATAAACAACACCACCACCTCGCCCATCCCACCCCCAAGTTCGCTGCACTTTTAGTCCACTACAGAAAACACACTATGGGGTGTTACTGCTGAGTGCAAACAACCATGGGTTGCTGACAAAATATGACCTAACCTGAGCCTGATGGGATCTGGTAATGTTCATTATGGGGTTGTAACCTATAACACTGAAATCCAATGTTGCATCCATCCAGGGTTACCTTAGAGCGCTCCTTGTGTCCTGATTGTCTGTTTGGTTACATCTGTAGAGCACTTTCTGCAGTAAATGTAACTTCTAATCTGTCCTATATTAATATCTATTTAGATCCTTTTTTAAAGGGGAATCTTTCTGTAGTAATACTTGAGCCCTGCATTAAAAGAAAATAATCAATCTTTAATCTGGAAAACCATGAATGACTGGTGCCTCCCAAGATCGGGGTGGGGAGGGCGGGGGGCACCATGGCGGTGAGTGGGGGCCACCTGCAGCCACCGCTGACTGCAGTAGCAGCGAGGGGTGGGGAGGGACGGGCAGTAACTGCCCACAGAAGCCGGTGGCGGCTTTGGCAGCAGCCAGTCTCAGGGGGGACACGTGCCCTCCCCGTGTTTTTCCCTTTGCCTTGCCTATGTGGAAAACCAACCCGTTTCTTTGAATTTTGATTCCCACCTCATAGAGTAAACAACCTACTGACTTTTGTGGATCTGATGTGGTCCCTGATTTAAGTGGTAGTCTTTGGAAATCTAGATGGATACCATGGTATCTGAGGAGCTGTGGGAAAAAAACCACAAAATTCTGATTTTCTTTTCAGAAGAGGCTCTGATCTTTATAAACAAAGAAAACAAAAAAAGAAAGAAAAGTAAAAATGTAATATGGTCTGTAATGGTAGAATAACTATGTAGGACAACAAAAAAGCTTTAGGGAAATGCATTACTGTAATCAAATTTTCATTTTTCTATAATTACATAATTATAACTTATAGCCCAACTCGCAGCCAATTACATTTTAGACTATTTGATACATTTGTTGAATAGGATTAATTTCGCCAATGTAAAGACTATAAATTCTGATCTAAGTAGGCAGCTGTTTAGAAAAATTGATGGCAATTTAACTAAATCTAAACGATTTGAAAAACATGTAATATTCCTAGTGAATAGGTTATTTTTACATTAAGAGAAATAAAGCCAGCAAATTTAGTGCAAATTTAGTTTAAATTCTGTATTTTGTCTAAGTATTCACTTTTTGCCAAATTCCTATCTAGTACTTTTTGATTAGAGAAGTATGCTGTAGCTTACCACCTCCAGAACTATAAATCCTGAGAGCTGACAATAGCAAACAATGGGTTACAGCTTTCAAACTTTGGGTACAGTGTCCTCAGTGCCTGAACTTTTCACATTTTCATCGAGGCTGTTCCTGGTTCTCTGTCTTGACAGGAGTGTACAGACTGATAGGCCATGTTAGATGAATTGACCTCATTTTGAGCTTTCTAATGAGTATGTGTGACCAGTTTGTGGCCTTTTTTGTTGTTCTTGGATTGGTGTACTACTGCGAGGAATTACCCTTGGTGTTAAAATGTGAATTTTATTTCAAATGTGAATTTAAGTGGTAAGTAACATCAGTTGGGGGGAAAAAAAGAGAAAACGAGAGAGCAGAGAACATATGAAGTATTCAGTTCTTTCAGGATTTTCAGTTTTGGAAAGGCACATACCAATTATAGGAGGAAAATGTAAGCCAATCTGATTTAGAAGCATTTATAATGAAAACTTTGGAAGGAAGAGAGAAGGAGACCAGATTGTACCTTATCTAGCACCTTGTTTGGAGCTGGACATCTACAGGATCATGTTGTCCATTTCCTGCTTGTCAGTATATGATGCTTCCTTGCAGTACATTATCAAGTGTTTTGTCCAGAATAGCTTTAAATGTGCAAAGGAGTAGGACTGCCATTGAAGAGTCTTCCACAGCCAAGTATGTCTCGTTGCCCATAAGCTAGACCTAATCTTCATCACATATTTTTTTTCTTCCTTAAATTAATTACGGCAGTTTTTGCTGTCTTCTCTAATTTCTACTGTATCTGATCAGCTCAGTGCTCTGACACATTTATCCTCTCTGAGTAGGGAAGCAGTACAGAGAGAGCACTGAGGCACAAAGGATGGAAACATATTGCCTGACATCTCACTGGTGCTGCCATTTTTTTCTATGGTGCTGCCATTTTTTTTTCACCCAGTGAAGCAGATCATCTGTGTCATGAGGCATCACAGCACAGCTGATCTGCTTCATTTGGCAGTTTCTGTTTCTAGCCATGGAGATCAAGTCACTTGTCTAAGGCAGTACAGGAAATCCATAGCAGAACAGGAAATTGCATCGAGATCTCGTGCCCAACACTAGTACCATAAGCACTGTGCCAACCTGTCCCTAGTCGCATGCCTTCTACCATCATAAAGAATTCCTCTCCATCTCTGAAATACCTGTAGACAGTTTATTATGTTACTTCAGAGCCCCAGCTGTCACTGAGCCAAGACCCATATATTTAGCTCCTCTAATCTTCCTTCATAACTTGGTCTCTCCAGTCCTTTAAATCAGTTTTGTAGTGTTCCTTGGCCTCTGTTTTTTTTTTAGGGTGCATATATACTTAAGTGCACTAATACTGCCGCAGTCTCACTAGAGTGCATGTATATCTGAATACTAAGCTTGCCTGTTAAATAAATGGGTCAGCAGAATCCTTTAAATATTTCATGAAGAAGAGAAAACATTTCAAGTATTGTCATTATTCTGGCATTTTGTATTAGCTAACATTCCCTTCATCTTGATTACCTTGAAAACAGCCAGACAGCTATATTGTCCTTGGGAAAGACAAGGTAGCTAAGTGTGACTCTGCTGGGTAGAAGCATCTTTTTGTGAAACTTGCTTGACTTGTCATTTTCCTGCAAATAGGAAAGGAATTCAGATGCTTTAGAAAAAATAGCTAGACCTGGTAGTGGCAATGGCATTTGGGTGGCTTTTGTCAAATGAAAACCCTTAAATAGAAAGTGTGTGTCTCTTGATTTTCAAAGGCTCTTGTCATGCTGGGATTTGTAATTGTACAGGATAGCCTTTACAGACATTTGAGCATACTGCATTTCCTTAGGAAAGGGATGCCCTGTTTTCCATATTACAAACTACATATTTACTGTACTCTGGAAACTATAACTACAAAGAAGAGTAAAAATGAGAAAATAAGCAATGTGCCTGTGCCTCTCATTCTGCTGTTTTGTCCTTTTTCAAAAAAATTAAAACAAAGTTGGCTCTTTTCCTGGTCATTTTTGTCATCCTTTCCCATCACTTTTGTCTCTTTCTGCTGGAGAAAGAGATGTGGCTAGCAAGTGCTCTGGGGACTAAGTGTGGCCTTGAGGCACAGTTAAGGAGCAGCTCTCTTCACAAAATAAAACAATGAATTAAAAGCTGTCATAGGTGCCATGTTTAGATCATTTATCTTTATATTGATCTTTTTTTACAACAAACAAAAAACAGTCCTTTAAACCGTATTCATTATTTTCCTTAAACATATGAGAGGAGAATAAACATTTTCTCTCTCAAATTGACAGTGATGGAAATAGACACTTGTGTAGGGCATACAGGCAAAGCTAAGTTAAATCCGGGGCTGTTTTTTTCTTGCACAAAGCAAACCTTAAAGTTAATTGTCGGAGAACATTACACTATTAATACAATCTCCTTTTTTCTTTGAAAATAACATAGTGACTAATGTTGAAAAATTATTTAATTTTTAGTGAATTTTAAAGCTGCAATTTTGTAGTCTGTCTTGAAATCATAATGAAAAATAGAGTAGTCTTCAAATTAATTCCGTTTTTTTGTCTTTTCTTTCCATAAAGGAAATAAGAAAGCTAAATTAGCACTAAAGTGTTACTTCTGAATTCAGGGTCACATCTTGTCCTGCTTTTGTGCATGAACTGATGACAGGATAATAGCCTTGACTGTCCAAAACAAAATTGAATTTTGAAAGAGAGAGCACTGAGAGGTTAGCATTGCTTATTTTCTCCTGTGCACTTTTTCATACATTGTCTTAGTACAGCACGCTTGTGCCTGAAAAAGACTTGCGTAGAATACCAATACATCTCACTGAAAGGATGGTGATAATATAATGCTCAACTCTGATGCACCTAAGGTCCTCGTAACTGATGGAATTTGTATTTCATATGCCCCATGTTTTCTTTCTATCACTTAATCATCATTCAGCTGTAGTCTTCTTTGAAGTGCTAGATAACACAGTGTAAGTACCAAACAATGCATATTTATTCTGTTTTAAATTAATTTTTGTGTGAACTGGTTGTCTTCATTTTTCTTTAAACAGATAAACAATCAGATATTGTATGGAAGAAGCCATCAGAATGCCTCTGCAATAATTAAGACCTCCCCATCAAAGGTCAAGTTGGTTTTCATTCGGTAAGACCAGTCTTCATCAACTTATTTCATTGTATTTGGGTTTATCCATGAATGGTCTCACTTATAATGGTGCTGAGCTTCTTTATTTCTCTCAATATAATATTTCCAGAGATTACTTGTAGGTAGAAATAGGGAGACACCTGCACAGAACACAGAATTGTAGTACTGAAGAGACAGCCATTTGAGAAATGCCAGGCAAGTGAGGAGTTATGAAGCTTCTTGATGGACATGAGAAGGATAGTTTCTAAAAAGAGTTTTGGGATGAAATTAAACTCAGTGTTTTTCAGC